AGGTTGGTTATCAGCAGATAGTATAATGGTTGCATCGCTGGACTCCCACATAGTGGACCACAGTTTGAGTCCCAGACCTGGCAGCTTAAAACTCATACCAGGCGTGTGTGTGTGCATGCCCAAAACCCCAAAAGGAGAATGGAGGAGAAGAGATTGCAGTGTGGCCATCCCCCTGGGAGTGATTTCTCACTTTTTGTCTCTGTGTCTTTCTGTCTCTTCGGCGAGTGCACATGCCCTATAGAAAAAATCTCTCAAAGAAAAAAAAGAGAGAGAGAGAATTCAGGGTTGGCCTTGGGTAACATAACAAGACATTGTACAAGAAAGAGCTGGGCATGGTGGCATGTACCTGTAGACATAGCTGGGAGGTTGAGGCAGGAGAACTGTGGTATAGGGAAACCTTGTCTTTTTTTTTTTTTTAACCTTTTTTATAATTACACTTAATGACTATACATCTTTACAGCTTACCGAAAAAAAATTTTTTTTCAGTGTGTATACAATGCATATTAGTCAAGTCAAGATATTACTGGGGCCAGGTGGCATGGTAGTTAAGGGCACTGGACTACCACATGGCCAACTGCAGTTCAAGGCCCGGACCTGGTGCCTGGTGGCTTACTTTCTCACTTTCCCTCCCTCCCCCCCTCTCTTCTCACTTACTAACTCTGACCCTCTCTGGTCAAATTTAAATAAATTACATTACCATATATGTTACCATTAACAGATAACTTCATCTTTGTGTCTGTTAATTTTTTTTTTCCTGATCCCATTTCTCTCACTCTCTGTTACCTACCAAGTCTTTATATTGTCTCTAGTATTTTCAGTTGCCCTTTCTGTTATTATACCTTCTAGGCTTTCCGTAGAGTGCAGACATTCAGTATACATTAAATGGGGACGTACAATGCCTGTCTTTCATAGTCTGGTTTGTTTCACTTAGCATTAAATCATTTTTGTCCATTGTATCAAATGCCAGGGTCTCATTGGTTTTTTTGTTTTGTTTTTTTGTTTGTTTGTTTTTTGTGACTGAATAGTATTCCATAGTATATATGTGCCACATTTTTTCCAGTCTGTTCATCTGTTCTTAGACACTTGGGTTGATTCCATGTCTTGGTAATTGTGAATAATGCTGCAGTAAACATGGATGTGCAGGTGTTTTTCTGACTGTTTTCCAATCCTTTGGGTAGATTACCAGAAGTGGATTGCCAGGTCATATGGTAGTTCTATTTCTAGGTTTTCAAGGAATCTCCACATTGTTCTCCACATTGGTTATACTAAATTTACATTCCCACTGGCAGTGTAGGGGGGTTTCCTCTTCATCGCAGCCTCACCAGCATTTATCATTCTTTATTTTTTTAACCGTAGCCATTCTTACTGGGGTTAAGTGGTATCTCATTGTGAAAGATCCTATCTTTAAAAAAGAAAAAAAAAATGAAAACCTGGAAAGTTTGTCATGCACATTCCTGGGCCCCACTCCAGCCATCCTGACTCAGTAGGTCTGAGACCATGTATGTCATGTAGGTCACTCAAGAAGGTCATGAACTTGGCCTTCTAGCAAGCTCCCTGGGATGCAGAGTTGATCCACAGACCATGCTTGGAGGAGCCCAGTTTCAAGTCCTGACAAGGAACTTCATTTAGCTACTTCCCTTACCATGTATCATTAATGTCTTTTTGCCCTATTAACAATTCTGCTTCTGCATCAACTTAACTGGTGGGTTTTTTTTAGGCATGGTGGTTCAGGTGCTGGATCCCACATGTCAGACCCTACAGTTTGAATTCCAGACCTGACAGCCTGAAAATATACTAGGCATATGTGCGAGTTTGCCCAAAATCCCAAGAGAAAAATAATGGAAGAGAAGGAATTATGGTGGGGTTATCCACCCAGGGAAATGATTTCTCACTTTCCCTTTTTCTCTGTCTCCAATGAGCACAAGCACCCTATGACAAAAAATATCTTTTTTAAGCATTTTGTTGAACTTATCAAAAACCTTTTGAACATCTAAATCAAATTAGATCCACTAGTTTCTGGATTCTTCATCTCTTTATATTTGCTCATTGACAAGTTCAGTGAGTACTGAACTTGTCAACAGAGAGGTAGGGATATAACCTACAGCAGACCCTTCCAGTTCCCAGTCAACATCCCAGTGTCCACTGTTAGTGAGGGACTGAGCCTGTTCACCAACCACCAGGCCTGGGAACTTGCATGTAACTGTAATGAACCGACAGTTGGACACAGCAGTCCTCAGGGCTGCTGCTTAACAGATGCCCACAGCCAGAAGCCATCATTCAGAGCTGGAAGGGACTGTTAGTTATATGTCACTGAATTTACAGAGGGAAGGAGGATGTTATACTGTGGTGTTCTTGTCAGCTGTAGAGCTCATGCTAATCCTGGGATTGTCATTGATGATGATAGGAGAGTTAACACCTGAGTGTTAGGCCGGACTGTACTCAGCAAGTGTCACCTCATGGAACCTCAGAGCCAGCCAGGAAGGAGGCAGACTTCACATTCTGTGGATGCCAAGGCAGGCTTCTAACTTGTGTCTCTTGATGATGTTAGCAGTGTCCCTGACTCCAGATGCAAACGCTCCTGTCTTCTACCTCAAGGATTTTGTCGTATGTTTAGCTTCTGCTATGTGTACTAGAATTATGGGATTTCTAAACTTATGATACTTCCGGAAGCTATTCATGAATAGAAATACAACAATGGGGAGTTAACGTGGTGATCTAAAACTCCACAATCTGAAATGTTCTGTCCTTTTTCAAAGAGCAAGAACTCGGAGAATGCACTTCTTTCCCAGAAACTAAGTGGGAAAGACCCTCTTCACAAATACCCCAAACACAAGTATAACAGAACTTGCTGAAAAAAGTAATAGAACCTACACACCTATTGTGCCATCTTGAAAAAGCTACCAGCTGTGCCTCAAGCACTACTGGGACGAAATGAGGCTATGGGAATAGAATCAAATAAATCCAAAGAGATGCCTTTTGTGCTGGGCAGCAGGTCTGTCAGTGAGTTGTGCGTTTCAGTACTCCTCAATGGGCTCTTTTTATCTCTGTCTGAAAGCTAAGAGGTTTGGTAACCACTCCGAGCTCCTGAAACATGCTGTGAGTAGGTCCTGTCTCTCCCCCGCCTCTGCCCCCTTCTCTCTCTCCTCTTCTCAGTGCCTCCAATGAGCACAAGCACCCTATGACAAAAAATATCTTTTTTAAGCATTTTGTTGAACTTATCAAAAACCTTTTGAACATCTAAATCAAATTAGATCCACTAGTTTCTGGATTCTTCATCTCTTTATATTTGCTCATTGACAAGTTCAGTGAGTACTGAACTTGTCAACAGAGAGGTAGGGATATAACCTACAGCAGACCCTTCCAGTTCCCAGTCAACATCCCAGTGTCCACTGTTAGTGAGGGACTGAGCCTGTTCACCAACCACCAGGCCTGGGAACTTGCATGTAACTGTAATGAACCGACAGTTGGACACAGCAGTCCTCAGGGCTGCTGCTTAACAGATGCCCACAGCCAGAAGCCATCATTCAGAGCTGGAAGGGACTGTTAGTTATATGTCACTGAATTTACAGAGGGAAGGAGGATGTTATACTGTGGTGTTCTTGTCAGCTGTAGAGCTCATGCTAATCCTGGGATTGTCATTGATGATGATAGGAGAGTTAACACCTGAGTGTTAGGCCGGACTGTACTCAGCAAGTGTCACCTCATGGAACCTCAGAGCCAGCCAGGAAGGAGGCAGACTTCACATTCTGTGGATGCCAAGGCAGGCTTCTAACTTGTGTCTCTTGATGATGTTAGCAGTGTCCCTGACTCCAGATGCAAACGCTCCTGTCTTCTACCTCAAGGATTTTGTCGTATGTTTAGCTTCTGCTATGTGTACTAGAATTATGGGATTTCTAAACTTATGATACTTCCGGAAGCTATTCATGAATAGAAATACAACAATGGGGAGTTAACGTGGTGATCTAAAACTCCACAATCTGAAATGTTCTGTCCTTTTTCAAAGAGCAAGAACTCGGAGAATGCACTTCTTTCCCAGAAACTAAGTGGGAAAGACCCTCTTCACAAATACCCCAAACACAAGTATAACAGAACTTGCTGAAAAAAGTAATAGAACCTACACACCTATTGTGCCATCTTGAAAAAGCTACCAGCTGTGCCTCAAGCACTACTGGGACGAAATGAGGCTATGGGAATAGAATCAAATAAATCCAAAGAGATGCCTTTTGTGCTGGGCAGCAGGTCTGTCAGTGAGTTGTGCGTTTCAGTACTCCTCAATGGGCTCTTTTTATCTCTGTCTGAAAGCTAAGAGGTTTGGTAACCACTCCGAGCTCCTGAAACATGCTGTGAGTAGGTCCTGTCTCTCCCCCGCCTCTGCCCCCTTCTCTCTCTCCTCTTCTCAGTGCCTCCAATACTGACTGTACTGCTCCCACATGGATTTCTTTAAGTCATCTTTACAGCCCATCACACAATCCCACCACCCAAGAGAAGCCCAGCTACCATCGTAGTGTATGTCCTTTGCAGACTTCATTGTGTCTGAATTCCTGTTTGTGTTTTGTGAGTCACACTATATAGAACATATTGGAAACCAACTTATTTCTCTTACAGTGTACCATGAATGTCTTTGTGCCCCATTAACAATTCTGCTTCTGCATCAATTTAACTGTTGTAAGGTCCTTCGTTATCTTTCTTCTGGTTTCTTGCTTTAAAAGCATATTTTTATGAAGGCTATCTTTTAAAAAAATGATTGCTGTCACTTTGCAAAAGTGAGATTAGGTAGCTCTTGGGTTGGAAATAATAAAATGGCTGGTATATTTTGGATTATAGGGGGAGGGGGTTGTTATCTTTAAAAAATTTTTAAAAAGCCAGAAAGCACAAGAGGCAGGAGCCCTGGCCTGCAGAGGACAGTAGGGAGTAAGCGCTAAGGAGGGGGTACCCCACTGGGGTGGGGGCTGTGTCCACCGTGCCCAAATCTGAGCCCAGTGTCTTTCTCTCCCCAGCAGACCCACCTGTGGCCGCAGCAGTGCTGTCTCATTTTAATGAGTGCCCAGATTCCCACACTCAGTTCTGCTTCCATGGAACCTGCAGGTTTGTGGTGCAGGAGGACAAGCCAGCATGTGTGTAAGTGCCTTCTGGTCTCCCGGGGTTCTGGGATGGGCGGCAGTCCAGCATTGAGTCCAAGAGCATTTACCTACACAAGTCTTGCCAGAGGCTCCTGAGACCCTGGAGCTGGACCTCTTGGAGGTTTAGAATAGAGGGCTTTGAGATACCTGCTTCAGAACCAGCTGGTTTAGAGTCCAGGCTCTCAGGCCCCCAGCCCAGAGTTACTGAGACAAGACCTCTGTAGGTCAGAGCCTGGGGCTCTGCATTTTTAATGAGGAAAAAGCCGAGGAAGGGAAACTCTTAGGAGGTTTGATGGCCACACCAGGCTCATTAAATGAACTACGAGTAGGACCTGTTTTCCCTTGACTCTTCTCTCCATCTCAGATGACTCCTGGGTTCAGCAAAGTCTGAAAACTCCCAGACTGAAGTTTCATTCGCTATTTACAATTTCTGGAGGGTAAGGCACTAGGCTGGATACCTTTGAGTGACCAGAGTCTCCATGACAAAGTCTCTGCCCTCCAGCTGTCTTTACTGTCCAGCTACTCAAATAAGCTGGACATGCCTGCAGAAGGTCAGTACATACAGTAACAGAGCCAGGAGCAGCTGACAAATAAACAGGCACACCAGGGTTGGTGGGTCCCCACATGGCTGAGTACCAGTCTCCTGGGGACTTCTCCTCATGCTGCTGGACCGCACCCTGACCTCTGACTCAGAATCTCTAGGAGCGGGACCCAGCGATCACATTAGCGTACAGCCGCTGGTAATTGCTGTGGTCAGCTAGGCTGGGGAGCAAAGGCACTCAGGAAAGCTTTCCAGAGAAGTGTCAGGGTTTGTCTAGTCAGGGCGAGCAGAGAGGTGGTTCCAGGACTGCAATGTTCAGGGGACCTGCTATTACAGGTCAGTATGGCTACCCCTGGGAGTCAGAGAGATCAGAGACAACCTGGAGGCCATAACCTGCTGGAATGAGCCTTCATTCTCTAGGCAGTGGGAGCCATGTACACGTTTTAAGGGAGATTAAAGACAACCTGTCCGTAGTAGAATACGGTTGGGTGGGCCTGTCGTCATCCCTGGCACTACTCACATTTGGAGTTGGGTGATTCTCTGCCATGGGGGCTGTCCTCCACATTGAGGGATGACATTAGCAGTGTCCCTGTCTCTACCCACTAGATGCAAATGTCTTCAGACTTTGCCAAATGTCCTTATGGAGGCAGAATCACCCCAGTTAAGAACCACTGATCCACCGGACCAGCAGTTAGCATAATGGCTGTGTCGCTGGACTCCCACGTAGTCGACTGCAGTTCGAGTCCCAGACTTGGTGGCTTAAACTCACGCCGGGCGCATGTGCATGCGTGCCCAAGATCCCGAGAGGAGAATGGAGGAGAAGGGATTGCAGCGTGACCATGCCCCCTGGGGGGTGATTTCTCACTTTCTGTCTCTCTGTCTCTCTGGCAAGCACACGCACCCTGTAACAAAAACCTCTCTAAAAAAAAGAACCACTGATCCATATGAAATTGCCATTTTCATCATCAAAAGTGCTTGAGAAGCAGCAATTTCATGGGGTCCACACTAATAACACTAGTAAGTCATACTCCATGTGAATAAAAACCAGCATGCAGGGAGCTTTTGCTTCATGCCAGGCACTATTTCGAGCAAAATCCATGTGTTAACTCACCTGATCCTCATAACCACCCCATGACGTAGGCACGGGGAGGTTGTGCCCGGGTCACAAAGTGGAGTCTAGATTCAAACCGACTCGGTGGGTCCTCCAGCTGAGTTCTTAGCTGTGATGCCTAAAGGAATCAGATGTGTTAGCCCGGGAGAGCCCAGGGCCCAGGGGTGCTGCGGTGAACTGAGGTGGGAGGACTTTCTCCTCCCTGAGGTACAGGTGTGTGAGCCAGGAAGGCCCACTGGGTGTCACTGAGCCTCACCTGGAGAAGAAGAGGGAGAAGCATGGCCACTGGCCTCCTAGGAATGTCTGCAGAGGTAGACAAGAAGCCTCTCCACCCTGTAAATACAAAGCACAATGATGATGATGATAGACACTGTTGTTATTTATGATTTCCATTTCTATTAAATTACATATTAGGGGTGGCTCTGTGGCCTAGTGGTGAAATGAGCTAGGTCCCACATGGCCAACTGTGCAGTTCAGATCCCAGCCTGAACAGTTTGAAAGACACTTCTGCATGCATTCCCAAAATCCCAAGACGGAGAAATGGAGAAGGGATTGCAGCATGACTGTGCCCCATAGGAGGTACTTTCTTCTTCTTTCTCTTTCTCTCTGTCTCTCTGACAAGCACACAAACTCTCTGGCACTAAACACACACACATACACACACACACACATACACACTTAGGGAGCCCTGAGGGACAGATGGGATTGTTTTCTTAGTACCCAGGTGATTGTGGAAAGACACTGACCTTGAAAGGAGGCTGGCCTCTGGGTCCAGATATCAGAAAGCTCCCCCAGACAACAGGCTGGAGGCACCACCGCTGCCAGCAGCCCCAGCACTGGGCCAGAGTCTAGCACACGGGCTCAGCATGCTCTGAGCTCCGAGCTGGAAGGGTTGTCTTTGGAGAGAGATCTGATCAGACCTTGGTGAGAAGCTGCTTTTCCTCCTGAGGTATGCTCCACACCAGGTCAGGGGCTGACATAAACTTTCAGAGAAGGTTGGCAGCTCCGAGCCAGGGCCAAGCAATAACCAGATCTGTGGCTGAGACACCCCCTGCCCTCGACCATTGGAAGCTTCCTGAAAGCCAAGGCTGGGCGGTTGCTCTCCTACCCTCAGCCTGAGTCCAAGGAAGGTGACTGTCCAGCACATTTATAGGCCATTCCAGTTTGGAGTCAGGATGCCTGCCATGTGTCTCTCCATCCCATTGTAATGAGTACTACTAATAGTAACAGGAAACTCTCGGTAGACGGTGTCTGTGCTCAGTACTCCTCAGAGAGTGGTCACGACTCCCTGTCAGGTGGGCTTTCTGCCCTTATTGTGCAAATGAGAAGACTGAGGCTCAGAGAGGTTAAGTCACTTGCCCAGAGTTCCCGAGCTGGTGAGCGGCAAAGGTGGGATTCAGCTCAGCGCTTCCTAACCCCGTGCTCTTGAGTATCACCAGGAGGGTGCACTGCCTCCATTTCCCAAAACTCACCTCAAATCACTAAGCTCTTGTGTTTCCAGGAAGGGTGTCGGCATCTTTCCCCTGCAGGTCAGACCCCTTCCCAAGTTCAGTGCCCTGACCTCGGACCCTCAGCAGGGGCCTTCTGTGGTCTAAGCGAGGGTCTAGGTAGAGACAGCAGGGACACCCTACAGTTGAAAAAAACTGACCCTCTCGGGGGAGGCATGTCCTTGCACTCAGTTACTGCCTTGGTTTCCCCAGTGGCAGCTGGCGACAACATTCACCCCACAGACATGTTTCATGTTGGCGGCAAGTGAAGGGCCACATTGTTCTCGCGTCATCTGAATGATCGGCCAGCATTCTAGAAGTCAGGTTTCGTGTTTCCGTGCACATACCCACCTCAGCTGCGGCCAGCAAAGAATGTAGCACTGGGCCTGGAAGCTCACTCGGCAGGGGCTCGGGTGCACCAGCCCCATCGCCCACACAGGGGTCCTCTGTCCCCACCTTCCCAGCACTGAAGCAGAATGGCCGTCCTGATCACCTGTTGCCATTGCTGTTCTGCTTACTCTAGCGCACCAGGCTCACCTCCATCCGCTGGGTGACCTTGAGGGCTTGCGAGTGATCAGGCCCGAGGCAGGTCTTCTCGAGGTCCCCCACCAGACAGCTTTGGCGGAGCTGCATGCTGGGGTGGAGGGTGAAGCTCTGTTGCCCTGCACAGCACTCACAGGGTGCAGTATGACAAGCAGGACCCTACACTGGCCTTGTGCCTAATCTGCCCGCCGTCTGCTTCTGGCTCATAAGCTCTGGGAAATAGGACCACACCTTACACCTTGCTGCTTTTACAGTCCCTAGAAGAATGTTCTAATTAGTTCATTCTCACTAGACCAGACAGTCCGAGTCTATGTAGAGAATGCTAGAACATTCTGTCCCTGCTCTTAAGAACCGCCCCAAGCTGACGCACCTTCTGGTCAATAAAAGTGACATAGCTTGTGGTAAGGCTGTGTCTGTCGTGGCCTTAGAAAGAAAACCCACAGGGAGCCAAGAGAATAGTTTCAAAAGAAGGAGCGCTTTCTGAAATACCATCATTCTTGAACTTTGTCTTCCATGTGAACAATAGTCTGTAGGTTTCCAGCGACCCTAAGGTGTGACATCTTGCACTATAAAATGAAAGGAAAAATAGTTAACTAGCCAAAGATCGCCAAAAGTGGTGAAAATTATCCTCATACATTTTTGCTTCCAATGAACCCTAGATTGAATTTAAGTCTCCCTACTGGTACCCAGCCACATCAGAAAATATGAGAAGAGAATTTAGGAGTCCGTAAAGTGATAGAAATAAATGCAAGGTTAGGATTCCTAGAGTAAGACTTTGTCCCGAGGCAGAGTTCTCAAACTGTGGGTCTGCTGCCTGCAGAAGCCTCACATAAAGGAAAGCAAGTGACAAAAACCACTCAGGTGACAAGTTTTAAGGGTCCTAGTGTCGGCAACGTTTGAAGTTTCTCACCTACCCAAAACACACTTCAGTGACTGACCTCCTGACAACTTTCCCACAGCAAAGTATGAAAACAAATTGCTGCCTGCCAAGGAAAACATTCCACATGGCCTTGGCCACGCTATGTTCCAGGGGAATCTGAACAGAGTCAAACACCAGAGACACGACCGCCATCAGTGTGCGTGTGTGAGCCGGCCGCCTCCCCGGGACCTTGGCACTTGAGCCACTTCATGTAAATCTATTATATCAACAGCCAGCAGGTGGCAGTGAGTGTGGTGGGAGAACAGGGCTAGGAGGCAGGACATCGCTCCCATCCAGGTGTCTGCACACAGCACGCCTCCTCATTGTCCTCCTGCGCCCACCAGGAGCATAGCGGGAGGCTCACACACCACGCAGGTCCTGCAGCAGTGAACAGCTT